AAGTTATTGACATTTCTCGAGATTTACTTTCCCAAATCTTAGGTTTTGGGTTCAAATGAATCGACAAGTTGAGTGAATCCCTTCTTCATAAGCGGCTTCCCCCTGTTTTTTCACACACTAAGCTATGAATCTCGGAAATGTCAAAGTTTTGATTATTTGACTGTTTCTTGGACTTTTCTCGTTAACTATCCTGACAAATTTGATGTCATAGGTTTAATCGAAACATCAGATTGTTGAAAACTTACGTTTATAACTGGCTATGCCCAGTTTTTTGAAAACATTTTTAAAGTTTTTGACAAATGAATTGAAGTTTTTGGCCTTCAAACAAGTCGAAGTTTTGAAACTTTGGCAGTGTTTTGAAACTTTGACAGTTTGAAACTACCCTGCCAATTCTCAGCTTGTGTTTAATCGCGAAACCCGGCTTTGATAATCTTCTCTGCTTAGGCCGCCATCACCTGCTTTTTGCAGAAAAGCGTTATGGATTTTGGAAAGTCTTTTGACCAATTCCTAGAACTTTGACCGTTTTTTCTTATAAAAATTTGGAATTTTCTTGAACTATACGCAATCAAATCTGAGATGAAAAGTTCAACTGAAAGAACCTGTTTCGATAAGAGTTCCTAGTTTTTTCAACTTTTAATTTTTTTCGACTTAACTTTTATTATGTTTCTGTTGTATCGCAAGTGATGCGACGCTCGCTTCGCCTCTGTTAAAAATTTAATTCGTTGATGAATTTGTGTAAAATTTATTGAATTATTTACCATTGAAATTTAAGCGGTAGAGCTAATTCTCTCCTAAGCTATTTAGAATCGAAGTCACTTGTCTCCTGTCCTTAAGTCGTGAAGTTGTGATGGTAGTAAATGCCACGCGGTAAAAGTCAGTTAAATAATCATAACATGAAAAAGTCGAAGTATCAGTGAGTTTATAGTGGTAGGTAAATCTATCAACTTATTGCTTCATATTTTTTGTTTAAAAACGCTTGTAAATGCATTTTGTGCAATGCCTAATCTGATATGTTTCATAGAGTTTTGACTAAGATGCTGGTGGCTGAAGTTTCTTATGGTTCCTCTTCTACTAGAAATGGGCATTTGAAAAGTCAGAATTTGCTTTTTTACTAACTTTATTGGCGTGGGATTCTCGTTCTAAACTTTTTTTCGCCTTAAAAGTCAGTTGGCCAACTTAAATTCAAGTTGCCTATTTGTTGACGGTATTTTGATTTAAATTTAGCTCAAAAGCGACTTCATTTAAAAATCCGCGGAGTAGTTTTTCTGGGTTTTGTTGCGCAATTGTTTGTATTTTTTTTTCTTTGAGAAAGCAATCTGCGGGCCCAATTGTTACATGCGGAGTCCACTGCATAAAATAGGCCCCCTCCCACTAATTGGCAAATAACAACAACACCACCCATTCTTTGAGTCGCAACAAAAAGAGTCGGCAAAAATATCAATTCACGGTAGTGTAACCGGATATCCGATTATTTAGCATAAATAAAAACAAATATGAAACCCACGCGGCATTATCAAAAAGCAAACGGTTGCTCCGCTGCGCTTAAATTAGCCAAAAGAGGAATATTTCGCGTGAATCAGTATTTTCTGTATTAAGTCAGATTTAGACTAACCTTTCGGTTGTCTATTTGGAAACAAAAAACTTTTCAGACATGTGGATACTCACTCAATTCTCTAGAAAATCTTGAAACAGCAAAACTTTTTCTGATTGATTTCATTTTAAAACTCATCCGGGGTCACATGCGATTTTTTGGGCCCATACTGTTAAACTAGTGCCAAGATTTGTTGCTTAGGTTTATTGCCAGACTTTTTGCGTAATAGAGTCTATTGTAGCTTGGCATCAACAATTTTTTCAAATAAAAAGGCTTTTACCCTGAAAATGAAGTTGCGTGTTAGACATCTTGAACTAGTGTTTTCTGGTCGTCAGATTGCCTCTGGTAATAATATCATCGCATTAAATATATCTCGCCCTGGCTGCGCAACTGGATTTACTAACTTATTGACTTTTTTAATCAGTTTTAGAGAAATCTTTGAACTCAGTTAGTAACTTAAAGGGAGAGTGCTATAATTTGTTAGAAGCTATGAACACTGACCGGAACTGTGAATGTTAGTTAGTCACTCATTCTCTCAGTTTTTCTCCCTTTTCAGTCTCCTCAAAGAGCTTTTTAGCCCCCTTTTAACTTGGTCATGTTAAAGTCACCTGGTGCGGATATCGAATTACACTCCCTAATAAAGGGAGTGCTGATTGCCGTTCCTTCACTCTTTAGCTACCTGCAGTAGGTCAGAAAATCGAAAGTACAGATAACAGAAATAGAATCAAACTTGCCTGCGAAGTAGAAAACAATTGGATTGGTATAATCATCATCAATAACATTGGAAATTACTAACGAGCGTATGAAAATTGCGCATGACATGCAAAATCTTAATTCTATCTTTTGCCTCATCATTATTCGATTATTGTCGACCACCCAATTCGGTTGATTGTCAGTATAGAATGTTGACTCGTCGGCTGTGTTAGCGTTTCCTTTTTTGATAACTTATCGATATGTTCTGGCAAATCTAATTGTATGTTAACATCCATTGAATCGATTCATCAGTTCTCATTCAAAGATGATTATAAAAAGTTTGATTTATTTTTTGTCGTGTTTTCATTTTTAAAAATAGATTAGAAATGAAAGCATAAATATATAATTTCATTTTGCTCATTCTGAACTTACATGAAATACTGTCTTGTTTTGGTTATTTATCGAGTGAAAACTACTTATGTAAAATAATTATAATTTTTAGATTGCTCTGAAATGCTACATATTGTTTTTTGTTGTCTTGTCGCTATTTTTGAAATTAACACGCCTCTTTTGCGCGTTTACTCATATTTTCTATCAATTTTGCTGTCTTCTCTGTTTTAATGATTGAGAATTATTTCCCCAAGTTTGACATTAAAGGGCTAATTGATTGATTCTTGCAAGAGCCCTCCTCGTACGAGAATTGCCATTTGGTGCCAACTTATCCGTCATTAAACTGAAGAATACGGGCAACATTCTAAGCACGATTCATTAAGGAAAAGTGAAAAAATGAAGAAAAGCGAGCCAGTTAGTCACCGATTAGCTCAACTGTTCTAAATTTGGGCAACTAGTTGGGCTTGTTTTGCTTTATATTAGTCCATATTTTAATCTGCAGTCATATTTTTATTCCCGAGCTAATTTGGCCTATCATTTCCGCAGTGGTATGTTGTGTAATGTCCACCAAGATCTTCAGTCATTTTTTCCTCTGCTGCAGAAGTAGAAGTTATCGTCTTGTTTGCTAATGAGTCATTTTATAGAACGCTTAGCTGCCGATCAGTGACCCCATTTCTACTCCCATGTCGATAGTTAGACGTCATTTTTACTACATTTCTTAAAATATTTGTTTATTTTACGACCAAAAGTTTTCGTAATTTTCGTAGTATACCAGTTTTTTTTTCTCCTTGACACTTATTTAATGGCTGCTTTTCTGGCTTACATCTGGTTAATTCATTTTTAAAATAGTCCAAGCTAGTTTTTTGGAAGTTGAGTTTGTCGAAAAATTCGGATGCAAATCAGTTTAAATCAGTTGTTTTTAAAATATATCTAACTTTTCATCACTTTTTTTTTACTCTTTATAGAATATGTATCTATTTGCATGCTCATCGCAGCAAAAGTGAAAATTTTTTATGTTATTTTTTGATTCTGAGAGCTCTTGTTTGGGTCTGGCAAAGCCAATGGTGCTTCTGACTTCGAAGTCGACCCTAATTTGCACGTTGCCGTCTATTGTGCGTAATGCGGATGCGCGTAATTACATTTGCCACCAGATTATCTAACTACCCTCAGGCTGTAATAGAGTCAAATTGGTAACTGCAGTTCAGAAAAAGATCAGATTTGAGTTTGATCGCCGTTCAAACCAGACCAGCTATAAAACTCATCCAAATATCGACAACCACTAATTCTTTTTTGACCTGCTTCATTGCCTTGGGCTATCAATGGCATTTTTTATGACATAATCTGTCACTTATTAACTGCGTCGCAGTGCTCTTCACTTATTTCATCGCATCCTCATTTTGTTCTCGTTGCGTTTTTTCCTCCAGAAATCTTGACATATTATAGTTTTACGAAGGGTTCCTTCTTCGCTTGAATTTTGTTTGATTCCTCGTCTGGGTGTCAAACATTTAGCAATCGAGATTCAATTTTAATCTAAAATAGGGTGCTTTTTATCTTTTTTTTTTCAACCATTTCACGCAATGTTGAGTCTAGTTTTGAGTTTTTCACGCGATTTAAGGCTCGTTTAAAAGCACATCCTCTAAGCCTAAGGACTTATATAAAATCTCTTTCAGTCGTTGCTTAGGCTCAAGAAGAAATTCCAAAAGACGTTTTGAAGTTACTAAGTTAAAGTAAAATTCACTATACCCCTAAACGTTTCCTGTAAACAGGAATATTCCAAGCCGTTTTTCTCGAAACTTTATTTCCGTTTTCAGGCAGATTTTTAAAAAGGGAGTGGTTTATGCATTAAATCATTCTGTTTATAGAACCGTTTATGCGATTATTTTCTAGTTCTAATAAGCAATTTCGGAAAAAACGGCAAAACATTTCTGGAATTGAAAATAGCAAATTTAAATCAGCAATCCAAAAGTCATGATTAAAAATTACCATTGAGTCATTTTTTCTGGTTTCTGGTGATTATTTTTTTCAGTACAGCAAGCGGCGTGAAGGCCTGCTTCACCTCTGTGTGAAAACCACATAACAGGTGATTTCAATAAAGCTTTATAATGTGACCATTTGTCTTAATTCTTTCAAGGAAAATTTTATAAGAAGGCAACACTCAATCAATACTTTAATTTTTGAAATTTTAATCGAGTTTGTAGAAAAATTTTGAACATAAGCAAACACAAGTTTTGTTCTCCAAAATAAGTTTCAGCATACGATATTTAAAATTGTAGAAACTGAGACGCCCGTTAGCCCAATTAACGATCTCTGTTTCGTCTCTTTCTATCTCAACAAACTTTCTGTCTGTTTGTCAAACTGTCTTTATTTCTAACTGTGCTAAACTAACCAACTAACTTATTTTCAGAATTTTATGACTTATTACCTATAGAAAAGCAACTCTTCTCCTATCCGACCGACGACCCTCAATCTATTTCATATCATAACATACCTAGTTTTAGTTCTACCTTGATCGACTTTGTTCTAAAAATAACCATCTTATAAATCAAATTGACTCAATTTTTAATTTGAATTCGACTTTAATTTGAAAAGAATTCTGACTTGACGACCTGGGCGTTAAATTTCTCCAGTGATTGATTTTTTGGATAAATTTTGATTGAAGATTGTGACCAAGTTAAACTATCGGACATCAATCTGAACTTCAAAGCTCACAAATTGTGTCAATTCTCGACTGATTTTCACTCCTTTTTCTTCTTTTCTTACCAACTGCGGTGGTTAGTGCAACTAACACTGATTACATTCTGACGATTAAAGTTGCACAAAGGGATTCATTTATAGTCGCTCTTTTCATAAATGAGTGTTCAAAAGGGTAAAAGGGAAGCAACTTCTAATCGTCAACAGCAGATTGTGGAACAGAACTCAAAAATCGAAAAGGTCTGTATACCCTAAGAAAGGCATTATTTAACCTTATACGAGGCTTTAAAACTAAATATTTCACTAGTTCACTATTTATAGGATTAGTTACAGAAAAAAAATATTTTGGATGGTGATGGCGTCTAAATAATTATGAAACGAGTAAGAAAACTGACTAAGTTCTCCTGTTTTTTTTTCTTAGTTTATCATTTTTCTCGGTTAAAAATGAAGAATTTCGCAATATGATATTAATTTAGTGCTCTAATAAAAGATAGCCTAAAATTCTTTCATTCAGTTTGTTTTATTTTAACAAGAATGTGTCTTCCTTCTGTTTTGTTTCGCGGTTCAAAAATTAAACGGCTAGAATTGTCGTCCAATTAGGCTATTGTTTTGAAAACAGCACTTTGATTACCTACAATAAAAGTTTCCGCTAAATTTGGGGCTACTTAGATTAAACCAAAATTTTACGACATACCAGCGCGAGGAAATAATTCAAGAAATATCTAGCCAGTCTGTGGTATTTGTCGTTGTCTGGAGATCAGTTATGGGTGTTGTTAATCATAGACGTCGCAAATTGATCACAGTCACTTAATTTATTTTACGTCTCTATGTAATGCCTTTCTGGCCAAACAGCCCATTGTCATTCAAGGTACTGTTTTGTAAACTTCTTTTTTTAAAATCTTGATAAATTTTAATCAATTTGCCTTCTGATATTTAATTAACTAAATATTCGGATTAGTAATAATAGAGAATCAAAGATTTCAGGCTTACCTTTCAAGGGTCTAGCTATTACGCCGCCACTCAATTTTGTTAATCAGATAAAAAATTTGGCTTTCTGCATTAACATAGTAAGATAGTATTTATTAGTACGTTTTTATTTTAGTCTAATAATAAATGGTAGCAAATCTGAATCTTAAAGACTTTTTAGCTCAACTCAAATCAACTTTAATCTGAGAGATCCTTCGGCTCTGTTTATGCAAATGCAGACAGTTTTTTGTCTTAACTGTCTATTTGCTTCTGTCTGTAAAAGTGTAGTTTTATGTTAGTATTGTTCTGAGATCAATACTTTTCCGCTCATATAAGGTATTAAACTGAGCAAAAAATAATTATTTGCCTTACTTTGCCCTGAAAAACAGCAAAAACTTGCAGAGAGGAACTGAAAACTGGGCAAAATTCCTACATGCGCAGGTAATATCATATTGTTGTTATTGTTGTTGTTGATTTAGATCTACACTGATTGGGCCAACCACTACCTGCAGAAAGCGGGTCATGGACACTGCATCGTGGACCTTCAGAGAGATGTGCGCAGTGGAGTCCTGTTAGCCGAAGTCATACAGAGTGTCTGTGAGTTAAACACTTAACAACATCAGAATCCAAATAACAATTTCAATCTCTTGAACTCAGGTGTGGCACGTTTTAGGGTGTTTTAAAACCGTTTTAAAAAATTATTTCAAAACAGCTTTGAAAAAGGTCATTATTTATGTGTATTTTAAAACATCGGGACGGTAACATCTTTAAACAAGTCAGCCGCAATAAAATTGTTTCTCGTGACCGGCAAATGTTAAATTTGCAGCTAATTTTTTTGCTTCCGGTATTCGGGGGTCAGAAATTAATCCAATCTGCAATGAAGAAAGCCATAGTGTAGGGTTTTGACAATTGCCAAAATCCAAAATGAACATTTCGCCGATCGAAATAATAGTTTTTATATCCTACTGAAGATATCGACTTCTTGAGTTCAAATGTAAAATGATATTTTACTTCCGATTATTTTTTGTAAAACTCTGGGGTTTTGAAAATTTGCAAATTGGCCAAGTTCTGGACTAAATTATGCGCGCTTTGAAGAATTTATTCATATTGCTGAGAGCGTAACGCGAATTATTTATGCGTGGCGAATTATCTCGCACAACGAAATTGTTCCAACTTGAGTTGAGGCTAGCTAATCAGATCGGCCGCATTACCTTCCTTAAACTCATCATTTCACTGTTTGATGTGTTTATAGCTTTTCAGTATTTTCTTTTCCCAAAAACCTTTGGATATGAATTAAGGGACAGTCGGGGCATTCAGGGCTTTGTCCTGATATACGAGCAGTCTTGTATGCTTTACCGTTGAATTGGTTCGTTTTAACGGTAGCATATTGCTGCTAGGTACCATAGGGGGACAAAGTTAAGGAGATCCGAAATTTTCTGGTCTTTTTACTTCTTCCGTCCTAACTAGCAAATCTCAAATTATGAGAAAAAATGCTCCTGATTGACTGAAATTATATACGCTTACCCAAATTGAGTTTGAACAAGCTGTATAATCATTACTGATGCGATTTTAAATTATTTTGGGTTTAGTAGGTAAAAATCCAAATTTTTGATTGAAATTTTTGAGATGCCATTTTTCATCAAATTTCTCAATTTGGATTGCATGTTACCGTCTCTACAGAAGTATTTTCATTCATTGTTCTTAGGCCGACACTTTTCTGTTCCGGCTTTCGAAGAAAACGGAATATTTATGCTTGGTCTGGATTTTTTATTCAGTCAATTTTTGCCGATCGAAATTAATGTTTTCAACACAAAATTTTTATACATTGAAGATATCGACTTCCTGAGCTAAAATTTAAAACGATGTTTTACCTCTGATTATTTTTTGTAAAGTTCTGGGGATTTGAAAATTGCCAAACTGGCCATGTTCTGGACTAAATTATGCGCGCGTTGAAGAGTATTCATTATGCTGAGAGCGTAACGCGAGTTATTTATGCGTGTCGAATTATCCCGCTCAACAAAATCGTTCCAAATTGAATCGAGGCTAGCTGATCGGTCATATTAATTACGCACGACTCAAAATTTCACACTTTGATATTGTCCAAAATTTATAGGTTTTCAATATTTTTTTCTCAAAAACTATTCGATATTAATCAAAGGACAGTGCGAATATGCAGGGCTTTGCCCTGATATACGAGCAGTTTTGTTTCCTTTTTCTGTTCAATATTTTTTAGTTGTTTATGTTTCATCAAGAAAAGTTTACTTTAAAAAGCGCGAGAATAGTTATCGAGTGTTTGTTTCTTAGATTTCTTACAACTTTAAACAAGTATCTAATCTTGTATGAGAAAAAAAATATGTAACATAATTGAAGGCGTTTTTTGAAGAAAATAAACTTGATTAGATATGATTGCAATTGTTTCTTTTGTTTCAGCTAGCGAATCGATTCACGGTATAGTTGAGAACCCAGCACACGACGGAGAAGCCGTAAGTCAAATTTAAATTTTGATTTTTATTAAAACCAAATTTTGAGGGCTACAGAACATAACCAGTTTTATTTATTTTGTCATAAATATATTTTTTATTCATCTAGCTTAAAACTGCCAGTGTTGAGTTTTTGATTGATGACAAAGTTCCGATAGCAATAAGGTGTTACTGACAATTCTGAGAAAAGTTTTTTAGGTTTTTCCAACTTAGTTCGAGATTAAGTTGGTTAGGTATTTTTTGGTAGATTGTATTTCTTCTACCTGCTTTGTTTCCATTTTGTACTGATCTGCTATGTTTTTTTAACGATCTAAAACTATTTTTTGCGCTTGTTAGTAGATAAGGGCTTTGGATTTCCATTGGGTTAGATTTGTATTAAATCAAAATAAGGTGTTTTTTTTGGTGCCTAACACTTCACTGAGTGGGAAGGAGCTATAACACAGGCTGTGTTTCTTTTCGATCTTTTTTATTTACTTCGATTAAAGCTCGTACGAGGCCAAGTGTGGTATCATACTTGGCCTCGCGCGTTTTCTAAACTGAGACCATGATATTGTATCGACACCAAGAAACTTTTCTCGGTTACAAATGACAGTTGAAGTGGCTTTTATATGATACCACATTTTTAGCCCGTACGAGCTTTTTTTGGGACAGTCAAGGACCTCCTTTTTATCAGTATGTACGCAATTGAAAATTTTTTTCCGGTAAAAATTGATTTGTTGGACTTCCGTTTTGTTGCTCAAATTTTGAGGGCTTGGTTGCCACATCACGGATTTTTCTTGTACTGTACGCAAGTATCAAGCTAATTGGTGTCTGCTTAAAGTTGGTCGGATTTGTTTCCGCTTCGTAGGTTTTGATCCGTTGCTAATTTAAACTTGTCTTGTTTGTCTTACTTTACTTGTCATGTTTGTTTATAATTCCTGCTTAATAAAAACGGGTTTTATGAAAATGTATGAGATTTTTTTACCACTGATTTTCAAAAAAAGGAGTATCAATGGAAAGACCACTGACTTCCCTGTGTGCCTGCATACACTCCTAGTCTTTTTTTGCTTTACCCCTCTGTCTACATCATTCGAAAAAGTCTGCGGTGGAATGTTTGATTCATATTTTTTGGTTGTCTCAAAAAGTATATCTTCCTAAATGTGAGATTTTGGGTTCAATCCAAAGAACGGATTGTGGGCAGAATTTTCTCGAGAACTACTCTCTAATATCTGAGTTTTTGGGTTAATCGAAATTACAGGCTGTATGAATCTTTTCTGCGTTAGTGGATACGCCCAATTTTTTTGCGCAAAAAGCTATGGTTCTCAGAAACGTCAAATTTTTGATTTGTTGACCGATTTTTGGAATTTTCTCGCTAACTAGCCTGCCAAACCATAGGTTTGATCAAAACAACAGGTTGCTGAAAGCCTTCCTTTATAATTGGCTATTCTCAGTTTGTTTACGAAAAATGTTTTGGCTTTCAAACAAGTCAAAGTTTCGAAACTTTGACAGTTTTTTTTTTTAAATTATTGACTAAGCGAAAACTACCGGGCCAATTTTCAGGTTGTTTTCAATTGAGAAACCCGGTTTTGGGAATTTTCTCTGCTGAAGCGGTCACAACCAGCTTTTTGCAGAAACATGTTATGGATTTTGGAAAGTCTTTTGACCGTTTTTTATAACTTTGAACGTTTTGTAGAGTTTGACTGTCAGCTTTTGTTATTAGCTCAGTTTGCGAAAGCAAACTCGCCTATATAATTAAACAACAATAACATCAGAAACGCATCGTTTTTTGATTTCAGTTAATTAAACAAGTTATTTCGCGTCAAATTCTTCGTATCGATGATTCTACTGTTTTTGTATCGACCATTGAAAATGGGGAGGAACCTGTATTTGTGTGTTTTAATTTTTTTTTTTGTTTTCCACGCAAAATAAGGTACCACAAAAGATCCTCGGAACTCAATTGAAGCTTATAGTCGTGAGTATGAGAATTGTTTGTGGAAAAATTAATAAAAAGTGTTTTTGTTTATCATTCCTTTTTTTTCAAACAAATTTTGTCTTATTTTCTAAGTGTTTTTGCGGTTGTATAGTTTTCAAATTACCCCACGCACTAAAACTGACACTAACTTGAAGAAAAGTAAGGGAAAATGATTTTTTTTCAGATTTTTTGTAATTTTAGTAGCAAAAGTGTGTGCTACTTGCACAGCGACCGGCTATCCTTGTTTAAATTAGCAAACGACTGTGATTTTTTATTTTTGCTGATTTTGAGCATACGTCTACTTCTCGAATTCTAATTATATTTGGCAATTTATAGCTTGCTTTACCCGCTGTATTGGTTGACGGTGTTTGGAAGACAGGTAGGTGATATGGAGCAGTTGTAAAGACGTTAGTCGCTAACTCTGGAGAACGAGAATTCGTATCTCGTACGGATGGTTTTTTCTTTCTTTTTAAAACTTATTTGCCTAAGTGTATGTTTTTGCATTTTTACGCTTGCGATAAGCAAGCGTTATCAAACTGAAATATAGGCTTTGTCTTGGTTCATAAAGAGTTCAAATTTCTGAGCGTCTCCGGCACACTTAGTCTGGAAGTAACGAATACGCCTGGGACGCCAAAGGTCCTAGGTTTGAAACTAACCGGACCTGTTTTTTTTTTCAAACTGGAAATAGTTCGTTTCAAAAAAGAAATTGTCGGCTGATGATTGTCTGATGATGTTTTTTCGGCGTAGTTGACATATTGTATAGTTTTTCTAAAGCTTCTTCAAAACATTAAAGTTGCCTCACTCTGTATAGTTGATTTCACTCTGTTCGTGTTGTTTGTATTTTCACTAAACTTGACCTCATTTTTTTTTCATTTAAAAATTTTATTCTGCTGATATGATTTCGGCCTATTTTTTATCGGCTTAGTGACCTTATTTCAAGTCGTTTCAACGGAAACGCATTTTATGATCAGCTCTGGATTGCACAAAAAGCTAAAGTTCCTAATAGAATTATTTTTCAAGTTTTTTACGCTAACAATTTTTTTCCGAATTTTTTCATTTTTTCCTTTTTTTTCGGCTTGATAGGCTTCTGCCTAATATTATATTGGCTTATTGGCCTCATTTAGCTTCTTTGGTTGAGCCAGAATGGTTTCGTGTGTGCGTGTCTGTGTTTTGAGGTTGAGGGGGACTTAATAACTTTTTTTAGTCACTTTTTTAATTTTTTTTAGGCTGAATAGGTTTCGGGCTATAATATCGGCTTACTTGTCTCATATTGTTTCGTTTGACGAGCAAATAATGTTTTTGAGTGTTTCGAGGATGAGAGGGACTTTTCATAAGTCTAAATTCTTGTTGATTTTTTTTTCGGCTCAAAAGGTTTCTGCCAAGGTACTTGTTACCGCTTGGTAAAATATGTTCTGATGCTAGTTTCACATTCTATTGTCTTGACATGTTTTTATTTCGAAACTAAACTTATTCACTATGATAGATCTAGTTTTTTTGACAATTTCTTTTTTTTTCAATTTTCTTGTGTTGTATCGCCAATGGTGCGAAACTCAGCTTTGCTTGTATAAAAAAAATGGGTGTCCTTTTTTCAGTTTATGAGACTTCGGCCTTTTTTATATCGACTATGTGGCCTAATTTTGAATGTTTTCAATTGAAACATAATTCCTATGCTCACATCTGACATCAGACCCACCTTGGAACGTAAGTTCAAACCAGACATTGAACACTTGCTTAACGAAAACCGGGAGAACATCTCTAAGCTTGAATGCATTAACGGGATCAAAATCCTTCACAACACAGAAGTACAAAATTTGTTAAGGAAAAGTCTAAGCTACTTGGCAGAATATACCCAATTTTATCATAAAGATGTACACTGCCACAATTGCGATCCGGATATTCACCTCACCTCTCCAGCTACCACCACAGGCTACATAACAATATACTCGACATCTGCCCAAGTTGCTACATAGGACCACACACCACCGACCATCTGTTAAACTACCGGGTACACCCAATCTCACTCACCATCGAAAGCTTATGAGAGAATCCCGAAGAATCTGCCAAACATCTGCAGATTATCACATAACCTTACGTAACGGGAGTTTTTCTCGGTTCTCACTACTAACAAAAACTGCTCGCTTGAACCGGGCATGGACTTTCACACGATTCTCTGCACGCCGAAAAACTTGATCCCTAGAACGGGGTTCATAACACATCAATACCTCCCTCTTGAGTGTGCTATACAGAGGGAAAGTGCCGACACCAGCACAAAGACGCTATCACTGCAAAAGTTGGTTCCCCTTCTTACACCGGTTTTTGCCACTAGAGACCCTGAGGGAACTGCCTTGATAGATTGAACGAGACAAAATCCATATGACCAGACAGGAACAATATTTTCTTAACTCTTTCTCCCTTTATCTCCCCAACATGAACAATCTCTCTAATTCAATCAGAAGGTTCTCTCTAATTCAATCAGAAGCTCAAAGCAGAGATCGATGTAGCTGCAACAACAACAACAAAACAACTGGTCAAATTTAGGCGGTTTATTTTTGAGAATTACAATCGGGGAATTTGCGTGTAGCGTCATCTTAAAGTCCCGCCAAAAGGGGTTGTCTTATTTGACGGACACCGTCTGCTTTCTGGATGTATAGCTCGAAATTCTATTCGACTTCTAAATTTTTTTCTAACATTTTTATATTTTGAAATGCTCCGCCTCTGCATAAATTGAACGATCACAGGATATTCTTTTTCCGATTTTTGTGTATTTTCCATATCCGCAGTTTAATGAATTCATTAGCCAACTGAAATATTTTATATACCTATTGCTTTTGAAATCAGTGAATCTATCATTCATCATAAACAATACCAGATGTAAAAGACCGTCAGGTAAATAACTCTTTTATTCCAAATTCAGTCAAGTTTTCTAAATTTGTCACTGAATTTCATATGCAGGTCTTTGGGGAACTATGGCATTTTCGAGGTTCAAAGCTTTACAATAGACAGAGAGTTCGGTGAATGTAGACAGCTGATTGTACAACTTGAAGTGCTCTTCTGTTCAATCTTTTTGGCGGAATTTATCCCGGGGCATCTTCTGCCTCCATTCTTCTCCCTATCTGGTAGCTGAGTGCTTTGTTGTATTACCTCTTCTAGTTCGTTTTACCTTTGGGGTGCCATAGAATGAGTGTCGGGTGGCAGGCCAACAAGCCGAAAGACCAACAAACCGAAAAAATATAACCATTCCAACACGCCGAAAATTAGTTTTTATATACAACATAACAACAGATTGTCACTATTGTTATGCAATTGTTACGTAATTCTTCTAATTTGCGTAATTCTGATGTAATTTCGGCTTAACGATGTGGCGGTTTGTAGATATGGTGGTTTGTTGAATATCCGCCGAGTGTCGTTTATGGCTGCAAATGTGATCAGCACGCCCCGTGATTGAATTGTGAACAAGTCTTGCTTCATTAGCAAGTGCAAGAATGCGCGTATCCATAGTCACTATGGACGCCAAATTAGATGCATTTCTTTACCTTGAACTAAATTGAATCCTTTGCACCTTTTTAGTCGCATTTTTGTGAGTAGAAACAGAAACCAGAGGTGAAATCGAATATTAGATTATCCATTCTTTTTTTGTGGTTGGTTTCATTTATTTTTAGCATTCGAGTCTCCGATTGCAACTATGGTATTAGTTGTCATATACTTTAGTGTAGGCGTATATTTACCATTACACTATCGTGTGCATCTGCTTGCATAAAAACATAGAATGAAAATGAGAGAAAAAAAAAGGAACTGTACGATAAAATGGGTTGTTTTGATGGTATATTATGAAAAAATACCAATAGTCTATGGAATGGATATAGAATGTCTCTTTCACTGGTCGAGTTGAGGTATTTGAATGTTCGAATGGAATCATTTTTTTTCTCTGATCGAGTTGAAGTATTTGAATATGGTGATTACTTTGCTTGACCCGCTCAAAGCGAACAAAAAATACTGAAATAAAGGAAAGCTGCTCTTTAAACAAAGCTCTGAGTGCATCATAAAAATTTTTCAGCCTTTTTGAATTTGATTCTATGAATTTTTTTGCGAAAAAAAATTACCAACTAAGTTAAGCGACGGAATGGTATTCGAGTTCATGCAATTTTTTCTGTTCTTCAGCTATTGGTGCAATAATAACTCTCTTGGGGGTTCTGTTTGATGTCATGTTCGCATGGAATTGAAGTTGAGAAGTAACCTTTGAACTGTTACCCACACCAATTCGCATCGAATTTCTATTTTGAGCCCCAACCGTCATATATATATATTTTCATCCTCAGTTGTTTTTTGATTCAATGCTTAATCTCACTTCCTATATTTGATCGCTTATTGAAATTACCGCCGAAATTTCAGAAAAGATAAATTGAACAGATTTTTTTCGTATTGTGATATATTTTGATTCGAATATTCGACTGTATATTGCAATTTAAATCGCTTTATTTTGTTACCAAACATAAAACTTTGAAGCAGAGATTGCTATCTACAGTAGACTGTAAAAGTAAATACACTATTATCTTGGGTCGAAATTTGATTTCTCGGCGATTAGATTAAATATAATCTTCCTTCTTAATTCTAAATATACCTATTCTTTCTTTATTTTGATACTAAACTTTGAAGCTCAATTGATACTAAATCTGAGCTGGGCTGCATTGATACTTATTTTGATACTAAACTTGCAGTTGGTATAATCTACTGAGCTGGTGAATGGAATGAAGAAAGGAAACGGACTCTTTAGTTAGTTCTGCAAACAGCTGAGTGCTTTGATTGGCATTGTGTTTCAGTTAGACAACATTGCAGCCTGTCTCACTTATTTGGCTTCAAAGGGAGTGAACGTGCAAGAGATACAGCCCCAAGGTAAGTCAAGTCCTATTAAAAAAAGTCACAAAACTTCGTAGTCGCAAAAATGTTTAAAAAAATTGTGATGGTTTTTATATATTTTTTTATAAAGGAATGACTTTTAAAATCATAAAGAGTCAACGCGTTGAGGGAAAGGGACTCTCGCCGAGTTTCATATCGTAATTTTGAACAGTTTTGAAGTAGATCGTCTTGCATCGTTTCAAATTTTTATTGATATTGAAAAAAAACTACCCCCCTCCTCACTTCATTGGAGAAAAGTTTGGAAAAAAACTAACCTTTGCAATTGATCCAATTTTTCTCCACTGAAGTTTCTCAAAAGCGACCGGGGAAGGAGGGGTGGTTCGGTTTTTTCAATAAAAATTTGAAACGATGCAGGAAGATCTACTTCAAAACTAAGACCCCCTCCAAAAAAAGAATCTACTTAACAATAAAAAAGGGGACAATTTTTAAGTAAATTAAGTTAGTCGAATTCTCGACCAGTCAGAATGCCACAAAATTCGATTTTTAAAAACAGCATTGTAAAGCTAACTTACTGCTTTTATTTATAGGGGTGCGCCAATTCTTTAGTAGATACCATAAGGGGGGTAATTGTTAAGTAGATCTCAAAAAAAATACCATTTGAAAAATAAATGTTATTTGATTCTGTTAATCTACTTATATGGAAGGTTAATACCTTCAATGACTCACAGCTGACTTTATTATAGTCGCTGTATTTTCTGTTGAAAAGGTTTAAATGACCTCTCATATAATCCACTCATATAATAGAATTGGTACTTAGCTTGTAAATGGACCTGGCTGCGATTGCAGCTAATCAAAGTAAAAAGTCTTTTTGATTGTAAAGAAAGGCACTTCGATAAATAACTCGTGTTCTTATATGGTAAATGATCACTCACTGTTGGTACATAACTGTAATTCTTTTCGTAGGTGAATTTTGAAGGTTGTTCTGTACGCTGGTTTTTTTGAAATAATCAAAGCTTGCTAAAACTTTGACAGTTATCCGTTTAAAATACCAATTTGAAAAACTTTTTGTAATCAAAACTTGCTCAAACTTTGACAGTTATCCGTTTAAAATACCAATTTGAAAAACTTTTTGTAATCAAAGCTTGCTCAAACTTTGACAGTTATCCGTTCAAAATACCAATTTGAAAAACTTCTTGTGCTAAAATGTTGCGTTTTGTGTGGCGTAATTGAATGAATATTTGCAGATATCCTCGAAGGAAATCTGAAGAGTATCCTCACACTGTTCTACGGCTTGTCTCGTCTCAAACAGAGAAGCAGATCTCAAATTAACCAGTCCAATCAGTCTCCGGGTAAGCAGAATTCAAACAACTTCAGTTTTCGATATTGGTAGATGAATCATGAAATATTATTAACCGTAATTTTTGGCTCAGCCGAAAAGTGACTGAAAAGTACCAGTTCGCGCCGAAAACAGAAGATTCGCAAAATTGGGAAACAAAAACGCAATGGGGGGAAAAATTTCAACTGAAAATTGCTAAGGTTCAGCTTCAGCTAATTTACGATTCCTATAACGATTACGCATATAAAATACTCAAAGTAAACAAACCATTTCTTACGTAGTGGTACTCTTAGTAAATATTAGTGAATTATATACGCTAGGACGGATTTCGGATTTTTCTAAGGGGATTTTTAAAAAAATTATTGAGTTTTTAGCAAAAAGTTTCGCAAAAGTTTAGTTTAAAACTAAACAGGTGAAAAGTACCGTTTTTTGGCTCTTTTTGGTAAATTTTGACAAAAATATTTTTGTTATGGCGCCCTCTTATATCAAACTAAATATTAATTGTCGCCTTAAGAAAAATTTTAGGGTCGCTTGGTCAAAAATGGAAGTTGTAAAAAAGCACCAAAGCTTACATTTTGGATTGTGAGGGTACCAAAGCCCTAAGGGGAGGGCTAAATCCACCCCTGTATATAGACACGTTCATAACATCAAAAATTAGAAAAGTTAGCTGTTTTTTTTTATCACTATTACGAGTTAGAAAAAATCATGGTCTAGAATGTGTTTTTTGGGACAAATTTAGGTGTTGTAAATAAAGTTGCTTAGAGTCAAGTGTAAATCCATCGTTTTCGAAGAATCCTTTTTTCAAAAACCCAATAACAGAGTCTTAATGCTGTCAAAAGTTGACAAGTCTTTTCAGTCGTATTGCATCTGGTGTAGAAATCATCCAAGACATCTTTCTTGTTCAAAATCATCTTTCAAAGCTTCGTTTTTAATTTTTTTGCTGCTTTTTGCCTCTGTGTGTGATTCGTAGGGTCTCCTCTTTAGTTAGGTTTTGAGATCCCTGAGATTTCCAAACCGTTTTGTTTTCGTGATATTAGCTTGCACCAGTGAGCTAGCGGTTGTACTGTCATGTTACGAAGTCCACTTTTTTACCCAACCCAAGTCGCAGATTAAGTGCTCTTTTGGTTGCGCTTTTGCTAACGTATGCAATAACAATAAAATAGCATCTTTTCTCTGCTTTATTGCTTTATTTAACCTTTTCTTTCCTTATTTCATTTTTACCCTATTAGAATAGTCTTGCTTACACAAACGAGCTTGCGGCTGCTGTTCGATAATAATGGCCCACTGTTTTGCTACCAAAGTTGCACATCTAGTGCAAATTTTGTTCAAAGTTTTTGCGTTAGTCACACATCATGATTTATTATATCCGCTTTATTTTTAGAACACCATTTGCCGTTATTGGCTTGGGTTTGCGAAGTGAAGCATCGCCTTTATAAAAAAAAACGTTTGAAAGTAAAATAAGTCTACATGTTTTTGCAGCTGTAATTACACTACCAATTTATTAATCCAGTTTATTAATAAGTAGAACACAACCAAAAAGTTGCATAATTTTTCCAAAGTCATTTTGCGTCCCGCTCTCTGTTTTTTGGCTCGTTTTTTTTCAGCATTGATTAAATTTCTTTTTTCATTATTTCTTTGTTCTTTTAATAATTTAAAAACTATAGCACCTCTTGAAGTCTATTTCCAAATGATTTTTATATATATGTATTGTGATAAATGGGAGTGGGTTATATATCAATTTTCTGTTGTGTCATTACTTTTGTAGCGCAAGCAGTGCAAAGTGCGTTGCTTACATATTTGAATTTTGGCTCTATTTGCTACTAATTTCGATTTTGTGCAATTGCGCTCAAAAAATGTTTAAGAAAGTTCCACAAAGAGCTATTTTTAATACAAAAGGTTCAGGCAACATTATTGGACTCAGTCTAAGATGCATTTTGGCTTGAACGCTTGAGGTAAATTAAGTTAAATTTTATATAGATTATATAGTTTACTTGAATGAACACATAAAAATTGTGATAACCGTATCAATGAAGAGCACGAACCCTCGGATCAATTTTGAATCGATACAACGCAGCTGAATAAAACTGTATTATATAATTGTATTTAGCTGGGTTGTATCGATTTGAATTTGATCGAGGGGTTGCGCACGTCATTGGCATTTTAATCTCAACTCTATGCGTATACTAAAATATTCCTACGGAACGGTGTTATATCTTTCCCATAATTTTTTTTTGAATTAACGAACCTTTCTTCTCATGCATTCTATTTTTTTTCTGTAAAATAAGCCTCCAGTGAATTGAAGTCTGTAGCTGGCCTCTTTTGCCCGATAATGACGAATTCAACTTGGCTGAGTTGTCTAGAAACATGTAGTTTTATCATGCATCTTTTCGAGGTGTACTTTTTTCCTATTTGTCTAGACAAGACTGTTTTTTCCAGCAACTACATGGAATTGCATTTGCTCTTATTTTACTGCTCCGTTTTTTTCTGTGTTTTTGTGTTATTTGTCTTTTAAAAAGCAGCAGTCTTTGAAGCTGCTGTTTTTTTTAAAATCCATCAAAAGCACAACGTTTAACGTTGTTTTCCTTTTACCGATATCGCTTTTTGCTCTTGCAGTTTAAAAATAGCTAAATTCTCTCTTGTATTGTCTTTTCTACTGCAATGATTTTACCTGCTGAATAAGAAGGCTTGCCTCAAATTAGTTTCAAAGGTGGTTTTACTTGTTAAGGCCGTTCTTTCACCGTTTTGCTTGATTATTCCTCCTGCTTTTCGAGAAAATTCCCATTGAATATGTTTTGGTATGAGTAAAATTTGATTATTTTACCTATTCAATTCTTCTTGTTTTGCGCAGAGTAAAATCACTTCATATTTTTGGTGTCAGAACACGTGTCAAAAGATCACGAAGGTAATAAAAATCTCATGTGTCGTGAAATACTTCACCATAAAATCACACATGTTGAAATATCCCATTTGGAGTCATCTGGGAAAACATGAGCAAAAATAGATTTAAGCGAAAGTGAATGATTTTTTTAATTTTTGATCTGTTGCAATATTCTTTGCAACTATGTCGAATTAAGGCTCTTTTTCCTTCCCCCCCTTCAATATATTAGTGTAACGAGTGGTTTTACGAGTTTGAGTATGAAGACCAAATATGTTTGTCGTGGTCTTATTAGTCTGTATGTAAATTTTCATAGCAATCGGACAATGTAGTCAATAAATTTACATGTAAAAATTTGCAGGTGGGGGGGGGGGGGGGGAAAGGAAAAAGAACCCGAATTAAAAACCCTTGATTTCTCCCTGTTGTGATTTTTTTCCGTAAAAAAGGCCATGGCCAAGGGCGATAAATCAGTCAAATGGCTTTCTCTAAGCGGATGAAGGAATTTATGTTGAATGCTATTTTTGTGCATACTTTGCGTGTTGACCCTTAAGTTTTTAGTAGAATCTTATGATGACATGGATCATTGGAGCATGTGTTGATTAAATGTCTTATATCTGAAATTGGTTCAAACTTTTTTTTCCAAATTTTAATGTCAATTAAATTTAGTTATGATCTATTATACTTCTGATTTTTTTTCTCAAAATGTCAATGATAATTTTTTTCAAAACTCGGAAATCTTGAAATTGAAGGAAAAATCAAAAATTTGAGTGTTTTGCTTCCTGGGGTAAAACAAGTTTTTCCAACCGTCAATAATATTCATTATAACGATAATAATAATAAATTTCTCCAGTTATTTTATCTTACAGTATGACAGTCCATTACCAAAACAGTGAATAGACGGTCTCTGAACTCAACTGTTGCGCAGTTTAACTATAACAGTACTTTTGATCACTTGGCTCCCTCGGTTTGTTTTGCCTATTTTCACTTTGTCTTATCGGCAGTTTGGACCATGCTTATTCTTACCAAGACTAAACCGTAATTATTCAGGCGCGTCTGCTGGGAACAGGCATGAACAAAGTCGCAGACATTTGTTATGCCTTAAAAATGTTCTCCTAAAGGTACAAGTTTGCAAATATTTCACGGGCGGTTGCTCTGTTACTCGGGGCAAAATGCTGTGATTGTTTTCTTAAAGTGCAATGAAAAGATAGTCTTTTAGAATAAAAGTCTAAGCATATTTATAATTCAATAAATTACAAATTAAAAACTTTCCAAATTAAAAACTTTCCGATAAAAGTTTAAGTTATAAAGCGGTGAAAATCGAAGCACAAAGCAAAGATTTTCTGACAAGCGAATTGAAGCAGAAATCTAAGCTCTTTGCGATTCTACTCTTCGGCTATGCTGCTGGGAGCTAGGTTTCCATGAAATTAACGCCAGATCGTAAGATCAGGTCTTGGATTAAACTGGAATATTTGGAAATCCATTTTGGGAAGTTATACTGTTATCTCAAAGGCACTAGAAAATAGCCCTGGGGCTCAAGTTTTGGGCTGTCTTTTTGAAATGTCCCAGTTTATTTTTCTCAATTTAAGAATTTAATACAGCTAGATTTATCTCGAAGTTTAAATTGAAGTTTATTGTAGAGGCTCAAATCGTTTCTTAGTCCAAAGTTTGACTTTTCGCTATATTTGTTTTATTTATCATAATTTAAAAAAAATAGAAAATATTTTTCCACTCATTATGCAACAAATTATAACGATAGTCTGTGTACTACGAGGACATCTGAAGGTAATCCCCGGGAATAAAAATATTGTGAATTTATTTTTGCTTTTATTAACAGTCGATGAGCGTAGTTCAGACTCTTATGTAGGTCGTGATGGTTTTTTCAGGAAAAGTCTTAAAACTTGTTCAGGCTCAAATTTGATTTTTGTTGTTTGACTTATAATTTTTTTTTAAATTCAGTTCATTTTTTTGTTAAAAGGAAGGCAAACTCCACTATCGAACAGCAAAAGTGTAAAGGTCACCAAAAATGTGATCAACATCTAGTTTCGAAAGTGGATTTTAATTCTTGCCGATTTCTCAGCGAATAAAAAGTTTAACCTATTGATCCAATTTTAGCAAAAATCTTTCATAGATTTCTTAAATCAGTGCTCTTCAAATTCAAAGAGCTTTAAGACCATCTATTTTTTCTATGAAATTCAAATGTGAATTTTCAAAAAGTCTGTATTTTTTCGGTTTATTTGGGCCATTGACTCTTTTCGAGCTGTCAATTGGCCATGTTTTTATTTTCTTGATTGAGCGTGTCGTTAGTCACAAAAAGTATTCAGACAAACAAACTGAATTGGAAATAAACATTTTTTGTTTTGCTCTATCATGTCTTTTGACACATACTCACTTGTGCTCGCCTAGAACAGTCTGATTTATGTATCGATCGGTGATGCGATAAAAAAGTGTTTTAGTCTCCTCGGTTATTATAAATCAAAGAGTTTTTTTTTGCAATATCGCCTTGCTATTGCGAAATTGCAATAAAGATAAATGAATATAGCGCCTTATTCGAATTATTTCGCTCGAGGAGTCTCTAATTCTTTTTATTGCCCCGGTTATTTCATACTTTTGTTGAATACAGTTCACTTAATTTTTAGTCATTCTGTGCTTATATATTTTTTTATTATTTCAAGCAACTGCAAATATAAACTCAACTTCAACGGCAGCTGCAAACAAGGCTGTTCTGAGTAGAAAACTGAGCGGAACAACCGCCGGCACAACAAAACAGGCCGCCGCGACCTCCTTTCAACAATTCCAGTCCTCATCCTCGTCACAACACACAACTGCGCAACAGTTCATTACTAATAGTCACGGTCTGAATCAAGCAGCAAACATCCCTGGAACACCACAGACTCCGCAACATTTATCCGCTAGTGCAATCGGAAGGCTCCGCCAGGACGTCTCAAGCAATCAATCTTCGTCGGCCAATCAGAAATCAGAAGCTCAGCTATCCTCTCCAATTCACCAGCACCCTTTGCAGAAGCAACAGTTACCGCCTACTCCAGTTGCTCAAAGGAGTTGCAGTTTTTCAGGAGGCAATCGATCGCAGGCTTTGAGCGTTTCATCTGTTTCTGGCTCCCAATTGGTCCTGCCGGGAGCATCCAGACAGTTATCGGAAATAAACGGTGAGTAGAGTTCTTTCTTGGCATTTAGCTTTCTTGAAAAAATGTACCAATTAAGGTTTCTTTTTCTATTACTGTACAAATAAGAATCGATACATATTGAAAAAATGGAGAATTTTTTTGAGAAATAGCTTAAAACCATTTTACTCATTGCAAAAGACGATAAGCTTGTATTAAAGCATCAGACATTTTTTTTTTGATAATTTAGTCGTAACTATCATGAATTTTAAGCCGCATAAGCTATACCGGTAATACTATGCTAGAGTGGTCCCTCGAAAAAGCAACTACGAAAGACAGGTCCCACATGCGTTTCGCATGTAATAATTTGAAATCTAAATTGTTATAAATTAATCATTTCAAAAATTTCGCGAAATGTTGAGTCAGAAACTTTTCATATTAAAAACCGTAGTCACTAGATTGGGCTCGCCTCAATGCTAGAAAAATGCTCGCGTCAACTCATTTTACTATTTAAAAACCATAGTTGAATTAACTTATTTGTCATCAAAACTCAATTTTGGCAATTTTTTTTTCAAATTTCCCCTTGAAAATGACGAGGGAATTTTTACGAAATAAGGAAACATAAAATTTGTTTGAAAATCTTTCTGAATGGCAAAGTTATAAGTATTAAATTCCGCTATAAGCAGTTTTTTGCCATTTTTTTCTACTACCGAAGAAAAACCTCGGTTGCGGTTATTTGTTGTTTGAAGAAAATCTAGTTTTGACAAAGCAGGAGCTTCTTTGTTTCATAAAAAGCAAATATTGTTGCGACAAAATGTGTTCATTTTATCTATAACCAGCTATTAAGTACAGCCAATGCTAAAAAAGTTAACACAGACTAATATGTTACAAATAGCACTTAAGCTTCAGGGTATTATGGATCTGTAGCGTAGAGGTAGGGAAGGCGACCAGCAAAAAAATAAGAGGGTTCGAACCTTGGCAGGGTCGGATGTTTTAAACGAATTTTTTCGTTTACTAGTTAAAATGCGTCCGCTCTATCAATTGAGGCATGTTAGTTGGAAAATTTTTTCTTTTTTCAAATTGACTGCTAATGGGTCATAATTGGCTTGCACTTAAGAAATTTTGTAGACACAAAGTTTTACTCATTCAGTTTTTCCTAGTAGCGTTATCGGTAATATGTTTGCTTGTGTATGCCAAGTGCAACTTCGCCTGTGTGAAATTTTAGGAGCTCTTTTGTTGTTTGTTGCCTGCGTTTGAGCCTCGTCTCTGTTTCATGAGTGGTTCGAGCTGCAATAAAAAAAACGGTAAACCGTTACTGAATGTCGAGATAGAAATTTCGCTTTCCAGACCTCCATCGGAGCATTAAAAGCGAGGCGTGGATTTTATTTGATAATCGACGCATTTTAGGTTACCTTTAGAAGTTTAGTTATTTTGAAATCCTTCGGAAAGCTCAAATTCGTGCATTCAAAATTTTGACAGTTTAAAATTTCATGCATTTAAATTAAGCTTTGTTCTTTATTTGGCCTAAAATAAAGGTTTTGATTTTGCACTATCTAAGATAATTTCATTGATTATGCACACCATCTAGCGTGTTTATTGTTATACTACGAATAGGCTAGCTTCCTATTCATTTTGCTAATAAAAGTTTCCATTTGGTGGCATCTTTGCTGCATAACATTTGGTAATTTTATCGAATCTGTTCTAGCTGCTTTTTTGGTGGCTAATGTATGCTCATTGTCAGCATATGAGAGGACGTGAGCCTCGTAATCCAGGGGTCAGCGTTTCGATTTCGAAACAAATCAACAGTTTCATTTTTCAAGGATTTTTACCTTTTCTTAGCATGTTTCATTTCTTTTTAAAATCTAATTTTTGTCTTTATTTTTTTGTGTTTGTGATCGAATTGCAGTTCCGTCTTTGTGTAATTTCAAAAAATTAAAATTGTTTAACTGCAAGCTTACATCCCTTCCGTCTTAAAATTCAACTTTTCTGCTTTTTAGTTTATTTTTGCTAGAATAAATGTGCAGATTTTAAGATTATTTCTCAGGGCAGCCTAATATCATCCTTAATGAACTTTTGCAAAAGTGATTGTGACCGGAACGATCTGTGCCTCTTGTACAGCAACTGCTTATTCTTGTTAGGTATGGATTTTTTTGCAATTTCGTCTACTCCTAACAAATTGCGTAGAGTTCAATATCATATTAAAGACCTATTAGTTTTTATTGAGATTACTAAAATCAATCAAAAAAGTTGACTAAGTGTTGAGAAAAACTGGTTCGATTTTTCTTTCGTTTTTCAGACTGAATTAGATAAAGGCTGGCAGAAGTTTGGTTAGAGGCTGACCTCAAATATTTTCCTACTACACTTTTAATGGTATTTTTGCTATCAACTAACACGTGCGTGAAATTATTTACATAAAATAGCGCTTTCGTACTTAAAAATAACAGGAAATTTTCGGCAAAATTGAAAAAAAAATAAACTTTTATTTTTTTCTTTGTTTAATTGTTTTCTTCACTCAGTGTGTTGGGAACACTCTGCTACTTGCAAGCGGTTGGGAACACAGCAAGCGGTTAACCTTGTTCATCTAATAGTCGTTCAGAGATTTTTTCGTGTCAGTTCAACTAAAACGAAGCCTCATAATTTTCAATTATAAACACTGTTTTAGAGAGTGAGTACTGCTATGGATATGGTTATGGATACGGAGACTTAAGCAGTTACTCTTGTGGTGGAAGTGAAGTCTATCAGAGTCTAAGTGGGGCCCAACTGTGGAGTCCAAATAAGACCACTACCGCCTCCACTCGTTCTATTCTTTCTTCTGCCCTCCCCACTCCCACCTCGCCCTCCCCATCTACTCCTTCGAAACAGGTGGGACGAGGAAGTACTCCCGTTGACGCTTCACTCGTGCCAACTTACTACTTGAGGTAAGTCGGGTTGTCTAGTCAGTCACATATAAAGAAATGATTCCGAAAACTTCATTTATTGCAGTTACCTCTTTTCAAGAAGAAAAAAACGGCAGATACAAGAAATCGAAAATTTAGGTTGTCGAAAAACCTTTCTTTTGTGGTCAACCTCGTGTGTTGAATTTTTGATGAGGGCCATTTTTTCTTACTATTGCATGTTCCGTGTCGAAATATCAAATTTTTGTTCCGACCATTTGAAAAATATAAAGGAACTTTGTGTTCGGCTGTTTTATTTTTTTTTCCACGCAAAATCAGGTATCCCAAATAATCATTGGAGTGGGTGTAGTTATATATCATTAAAGCCCCTTCAGTCGTGTTTCGAATAACATTCTTCTGAAAAATTTTCGCAGTGTCGAGAAAAACTTGTTTGAATTTTTCGATGTTTGGTCTTTTTTTCGAACTGATAAGGTTTTTCAATCAAAATAAGGTTTGCAGGCTTACAATGGCTTATTACCCTTGCGATAAGCAAGGGTATTGCAATCGGGTACTAGAATTTTTCCCGCAAATAAGTTTAGGCACAGAATGGTCAAATGTGTAAGAATGGTTAATTTTGGACATGCTCTTTTTCTTGAAAACTCAAATTAAACTACCTTCATTTAGGTAGTAATCAGGTGTAGTTCGTTTCCGGTGATAGTTTTTTTTTCAAATAATTTTCTAGAAAAATTGTTGATTTTTTTCGGATTCCCGTTTTTTTTTAATTAAATTTGTTTTATTTGGTACTGTTTTTTTCGGCTGTTTTTTTATGCATGACTTTTTTTTTATTCTGATTTTTTTACATCTCGTTGAAAATTTGTCATTTTACCAAAACTGATTTGAAATATTTTTTTAAGTATATAGTTTTGTTTTCGATTAAACAGCTTATGTTTTATGCCATTATGAACTTATATTGCGTTGTTTCGAATGCAAAAGTTCCTGTTCGAATAAATCAGGTATGATTAATTTTGCGAGAGCAAGTGTCTTGAAATCGGGAACAAGACTTTTTCCAGTAAACAACTTTTGTTACACGTTTTAACTTTTCTTTTATTTTTATTGAACCTTCACAACCTCTAGGCTTCTTCCCACTTGTCCTAGAGTTAACGCCGTCGCCTCTTCTTCTTCTTCTTCTTCTAGGCGTTCGGCTCGTTCGAGCCATGCCCTCTCCCCCTGCATCTGTCTGTGTGTTTGGCCATGTTTGTCGCCGACAGTGTCCTGTTGCATTTGCTACATTCCTTCTTCTTTGCTATGTATTTTCTGGGTTTTTCAGCTTCTTGAGGGTTACAGACTTTGACGTGATTTTTGTATGGACCTTCTGTCTTCCATGTTTTCTGGCAACGACTGCACGTGAAAGAGTGCGAGGCTTCGGTGTGCATTCTCTTTATGTGAATCTTTAGTCCCCCTACCGATTTGCAAACTTTTTCACATATGTCACACTGTAAGTTCGTCGGGGGGAGATCGAAATTCCTCTTCTCTAACTTTTCTTCCCCATCATGGCGATTCCCTTGTTGGTACTCCCAATTCTCCAAGTGGTCCATGCGTATCTTGATTCTTCTTTTCCATTCTTTTCGGTCTAAGGCAAATTTAGGGGCTTCGGTCCAGTTGATTCCGGCCTCCTTGAGCAACTTCCTCCAGTAGAAAATGGTTTTCTGTTTGTAACCTGGTCGCTTCTGGATTTCCTCGAGGCTGCCCAGCCACCCTAACACCGCCATTTTAACCGTCCTTGCGTTGCTCATTCTTAATATGTGGCCTATCCGCTCTAATGTACGTTTCTCGATCTTCCATCTCAATGATCTTATGTCGTACATGTTCCGGATGTCCTGCATATTAACCCCCTCATAATGCATTTGTTTCAGCGGTGGACCCTTTTTATTACTCCAGAGATATCTATACCTTTTATCTATCCTTGACTGAATATTATTGATCTCTTGGTTATACCACGGCCGAGTAGCGCAATCGAATAGGAGCCCACTTTCGACACATGCTTGCACCACTTGTGCTTGTTTGTTTCTGGGAAGTTTACTTTTCAGAAGTTGCGAGCGGCATTTTGCCCATAGGTATCCAGCTCGCTTTTTTCTGTTCATTAGGTCTTTTTTTGGACCTAGCCAACAACCCAACATGCGTATTTCTTCTGCTTCTTCTGATCCAAATAAAGCCTTTTCTTCTTTGTCTGTGTTGTTCTTTTCCTCAAATTTCTCCATGACTTCTTTGATAATGTTAACGCCCTCTTCCAGCTCTCTTTGCTCGCCGATGATAGTGGTATCATCTGCGAACAAGGATATGGTTATGTTAACAGTTTGCGTCTCGCTGTTTGACTTTTCGATCTTGTTTATATCCGGTATATTGCTGCCTGGTATCCATCGCCATTTTATGCCCGTCTGTCCATGTTTCGCGTCTGATATCTTTTTCCGTTCATTCTCCGCTATGCGCATTACCACTTGGTGATAGATATTGAATAGACATGGCGATGTCGAGCAACCCTCCCTGAGACCCCGTTCTGGGATCCATTCCTCGCTATCTCCTTCCTTCCCTTTCACTTGGTAACTGGTTGCCTCGTGTAAATCTGCTAGGGATTCTAGGAAGGGTCCTTTCATCCCGTAGTTTCGCAGGATTTCCCAAAGAGCTGGTTTGTTCACTCTGGGATACGCTTTACATAGGTCCAAAAGCCTTGCTTCGGGGTCAGTATGTTCAATTTGAGGCAGGTTCCAGATTGCTCGCCTCTTCTTTAGATCGTCTGCGTCTTCTGTTATTCTGACCAGGATTTGTGTTGCATCCGCAGTCGACCTTCCGATCCTGAAGCCGCTTTGATTGTCATCTAGAAGATTTAGGCGTTCTGTCCACTTTCTTAGTCTTTTGGACAGAATTCTTGCTAGGATCCTGCTGCCCATGGCCAATAGGCAGACTCCTCTATAGTTGTTTACATCATTTTTTTCCGCCCTTCTTATGTAGGGGTACTATTTGTCCGTTCTTTAGGATTTCGTCCCATGTCGGGGCGCGGAATAAGAACATCTTTTTAACCATGGCCACTATTGCTGATTTAACATATGGGCTGGCCAATTTGATGTACTTTATGCGGACATTGTCTTTTCCGGGCGCGGATTCCCTTATTTCACTGATGCAGTCCTGTATTTCCTTATCCGATGGGGTCTCATTTAGCAGGTTATTTTCTTCGATATACTTCTTTTCCGCTCTGTGATCCCCCATACGTGCAACAGTATCCATTAGAAGCTGAGGGCTGATTTCATATCGGTTTTTCGATACTCCTTCGAAGTGGGCTTTGAATTCATCAGTTGTGAGTGTTGTGCCAGTATCCGGTTTCCTATCTCTGCCGCCTAATTGGCGTAGTGTTCGGTACATGGTGCCCATATCTCCTTTGATGTTGGCCTGTTGGCATTCGTCTAGGATTTTATCCCACCATTCACGTTCTAATTCTTTCAGCTTCCCCTTCATTTTAGCCCTTGCTTTCCTAAGGTTGTCCCTATTACGCAGTATATCTTGGAGTGGGCGGTCCTGCTCTAAGGATTCGTTTCTATCCCTCACGGCCGAAGCTATGGAATTATGGAGCTGTGACAGCTCATCTTCGTGGCCGATCGTCCACGGATTCGCTATCTGCCTGGTTCTCTTTCCACATACCTTTAATGCAGCTTGCGTTAGCGCTGTCGCTATTTCGCTCCATGAGCTATCCTCGTCCACCTCCTTTGTCTCGGTCTCCTTTTAGAATTTTAGAGCTGTCTGCTCAGTACTAAATTTCTCACAGTTTATTGCTGGTTTCCGTGCTACTCTTGTTGGTCTGGACCTCTTTGGGATTTTTAGGTGGAGGGATACCGGCTTGTGGTCTGATAGCGTTAGCTCCTCGGTAATTTGTATCCTTTTTGCATGCCTGTGCCTTTCTCCTCGCCTCATTATAAATCCGTCCAGCTCATACCATCTGCGGTGGCTTTGGTTAAACCAAGTTCCCCTTTTCCTAAGGTTAGAGAAAGAGTTTATCCATTGGCGATCGTGCGCTACACACCAATCGAGGAGGTCTCCTCCTGCTTCGGTTGTTGGCGTGGTTAGACCATACCTTCCATTTGTTTCACAGGCTCTCTCCCTTCCAATGTGAGCATTATGGTCCCCTCCAATGATTAATACCTTGGTCTTGGGGGTTCGGGCTACTTCATTTTCTAGGCAGTGTCTATATTCTTCTATTCCTTCGACCCCGTTACTCCAAAGTGGTTGGTAAACTGATATAATTTTCATACCATGTACCTCCGAGTGCGCTCCGAGAAACTTTTCTTTTGGCCTTCGCTGATCCAGGACTTGAGGGCCTCGCCACTGAGAACTATACCGCTACGTTGGGAGTGTATAACAACTGTTTGTTCACTATCTTCACCTAGCCATATCACTCCTTTCGATTTTGATCGAAGCTCTGATATTAAGATTATTTCCCATCTTTTGCCTTGTGCATACGTAATTACTCTCTTCAGTCGGTTTCTGTTTCTTTCGTGGACTGATAACCCTTGTAGGTTCCATGCTGTTACCGTAATACTCGGCTGTCCCTCGGGGGGAGTGGGTAATCTTCTTTGTCTTCTCTTCTGTCTGCGAGCTTCCAGGTGTTCTTCAGTGGGGCGTCTCATTTTTCCTCTCCTTGTTTTCTCCCCTTTGTCCGAGTCTTTTTGCCGCAGAAGATGTTGCGCGGGGTTTTCGCAAATGTCTATGCCCCTGGTTTCTTCTTCTTCAGGCTCCTGTCCGGGATGGAGGCAGGGACTCTTCGGTTCCTCTCTTTGCGGGAGCTCGTTTGTCAGTGTTGGGCCCTGCGCGGGGTTGTCGCAGGTATTTGTTCCCCTCGGTTCACCCTCTGCTGACTCCTGGTCGAGGTGGGGCCAGGGAGCTTGTTCCCTTGGTTCCCTTGTGTCTGCTCCGTTTGCTTCCTTTGGCTCATGCGCGGGGTTTTCGCAGGGTTTTTCTCCCCTCGTTTCAACCTCGGGAAACTCCCTGTTAGGGTTCGACAGAGCGGAACTGCATTTGGTGCACTCAAATGCATATCGGTTGTCTTTAGCTAGCTGTTGGATCTCTTGCCGGGATAGACCGCTACATCCTTGGTGTATCCATTGTTCGCACCATGTGCATTTCACGCTGTTGCTTGTTACTTTCTTCCTGCATTCTCCGCACAGCGTGGGTCCCGGATTCTTCTCAACGTCTCCGGCCCTCGTTATTAGCTGACCCAGATGGGCTAGTCCCGAGTCAGCGACAAAAAACCCGACACACTCGAACCTGGGGGAGGTTCTGGCCACAATGTTGTTGTAAGAGGTGCTCTGACTGGCTGGGTCTTCGCCACTCTGTTGGTATTCCGGGGGGTTTTGGGTCCTCGCCGTTCCCGGTTTGTTCCCTTCCGTTCCGAAAACCCTGTGTGTTCTTTGCCGCACAGATAACTCGTGCGTTTCCCGCTTGTCCCGCTCGGAGGGCACACACGCACAAGCCCGTCGCCTCTGTACCGTCTACTGTCAACGTCGTCTGCTTCTGGGGTTCGACTCTCGGCTGGACCTTGTATTTTTCAGTTTGTATGCGATTGAAAAAAGTTCGATAAAAATTGAATTGTTGGACTACCGTTTTTCTGTTAAATTTTTGTCTGTTTGGTTGCCGCATCACACATTCTGTTTGTACTGTAAGCAACTTTCAATGCAAGTGCAAGTGTTGTTCTTTGTAAGTTCAGGGAGGTGGACTTGAAACTTCCTGAATCTTTTTTAAATCAATTTTTTTGGCTCAACTTGTGTCTGCTCAAAGATTGTTGACTTTGTTTCTTCTTCGTAAAATTTGTTCTGTTGCTATATTAATACTCAATTTTTGGCATGTTAGCCTAGAATGAACTTCTATCGAGACATTTGAAAATTTAATTTTAGTTTTCAACGTTTTCATTTTTTCGACTTCTTATGTTTTTTTGTTTGTGTTTAATAGCAAGTGGTGCGAAACTCCGCTTCGCCTCTGCGTTTAAGGTTAATTTAAGCCGTGAAAACCTATTTTTAATCAAAAAAATTTAGTGTTTGAAATTTAAGCGCCATTTTCGGAATCAAAAATTTCAAAAAAAATTCTGCAAAAAAATCAAAATTTTGAACAGTTTTTTTGCGGTGATCTAATAGTTTTTTCTAGAGAAGCAGTTTTCCAGTTGGCCATTTTGACAATGACTGTCGAACTTTCCTAATTTCTATTTTTTTTGTTCAGATCTTACCATGACACCACACAGGGAAAACGACACTATTTTGAAACTTTTTTTCTAAGACTATGGTCGGAACATTCTGTGCTATTAGCACAGTAACCGGCTATCCTTCTTCTTTTTAAGCTTTTGTTACTTAAGAATTTGGATATTTTTTGAAATTATTTTATGCGTTCACCTCACTCAGCAAACGGTAAAAACGATATATATACGAAAGTCATTTGATGACAAATTTTTTTCTCATCTGGAACTCAAAAAATGAGCTGTTTTATTTCTTATCCGGTACTTCAGACACTGGAAAGGATTCACATTAAACGCTGGCGTTTTTCTGTTTGCTCTTGTAGTTCTTCAAATTTGTTCAATTGCACAGTTTTCCCCTTGGGAACAAATCGTTCCGCGTCTTCATTGAGGCATTGGTTCGCTAGTGTGCTAAATTTTCATAAGATAGCAAAAATTATTTTGTCATACAATTTATCTGTCCATTGAAAACTGAGTTTTCGTCTATTGATACCGATAGCCAACGAGAACAACAGTTTACCAAAATTCTCATCATTGCGAATGAGCTCACCAATAAACAGTGAGATTACAGACTCTTTGAGCTTCTCTCATTAGTAACGGATCGATTTCTTTCCAAAAGGTGACCATTTTTTATCTTTATTCTAACAGCTATTTTGAAAAAAAAATTTAATTTTCCCGGGATCTTAGTTTGAAAAATTGAGTGCTGAATGGAGGTGCAAGTAAAAGCACCCTCACCTTACCAACACCACCCCCCCCCCCCCCCCCGCGTATGTTTAGCTGCGTATTATAATTAACTGGTTGTTGCAGAGCCCTCTCGCCGCCCCCTGTTATTGACCACTACTCCAACTCCTCTGCAGCCAGTGAATCCGGAGACCCATCCAACAGACGCGACAGAAACACTTCGAAGGGGGGCATATCTCGGCTGTTCGGGGGCAAGGGGGATTTGAGGAGGAAGAAATACACGGCTTCCACCCATCCCCTTTCGGGCACTGTGTCAGACGGGGAGGCTGTCTACTCTCCCGCTAGATCTCTAAGTTCTTCCCATCCCAAAAGTCCACTCAAGACAGCTCTAGGTATATTTAATTATCTCTAATTTAATTATAAATCACATACAATGCCGGGAGTGGAGTGCTCCAAAAAGTAGACATGTCATAAGGTAGACAAGTCGTAAGCCTATCACAGTCCAGTGTCATAAAAAAAGACAATTCGTAAGCCAATCACAATCGAGTGTCATAAAATAGGCAAAACGTGAGCGAATTCACAATCGAGATCAGAAAACAAACGTATGAAGTAACTTCTTTTCTCTCTTCTGATTGGCATACGACGTGTCTTGTCTACTTCATGGCATGTCTATTTTTTGCTTGGTAACCGCCTGGAGTTCATTTATTTTGATTGAGTCTTGACTTGGTGAACCGTAAACTGCGGTATGAAAACTTTCCAAAAACAGAAATGTACATTGTTTGAGACTGCATGTGCTCAAAATTAGTATCTGCAGTTTTGGACACGTCTGCTAAATTTGAGAATTGTAGTATACAATTGCTTAGAATTTTGTGAAGATTTATAATGTGTGACCGCTTCTCGATGAACGGTATTACTAGGAACTGACTGGAAATATTTCAGTGGATTTTGTAATTTATGGCGATTTAAATATATATATAATAAAGATAAATGATTTTTCACGAAGTAGAATAATATCTTTTTTTGATCGATCAAGCCTGATCGATCACGTTAAGTCTCATTTAGCTCATGCTGATGATTAACAAAGAAGCGTCTAGACATTCGCTTTGATCTTCTGAATACTGTTGAACAAACTCATTGCCTAATTAAGGGCACCGATCTTTTAGCAGACCAATCTTTCAACATAAAAAATGAGTCTTTTAGCAGACCAACATAATACTACTGATGCATGACTGATTGACGTAAAAAGGCCCATCGGATCTACTTAACAATCCCCCCTCATGGTATCTACTTAACAATCCCCCTCCCTGTGAATAAATACAGTAAATTAGCTCTAAGCTTTCTATTGCTAATTCTAATTTTGCTGCATTCTGATTGATCGAAAATTCAACTGTTTTAATCTACTTCACAATCCCCCGTTCTTCAAGGGGGGAGGTTGTTAAGTAGATCCGGCAGATCATCTGGGATTGTTAATTGTTTTTAGTCTGCTTAAAGATCGGGCCGTTAAAAAAGGATCTGCTGAAATACCTAGCACCCTAATTAAATAATTTAAAAGTCGGTTGCATAAGTAGGACACTAAAACGTGTGCGTATATTTATTTTTTAATTATATCTATGAGGCTATTTTACAAGAGTTCACCCCACCCCGCTAGTCTGTAAATATTATATAACGCGGCCTTGTTTATTTTGCTGAAATGAACAAGTGGTCGACGTGATATCATATCACACCGGATGCTATTTGTGTGTTGCAGGCAAAGCATTCGGCCCTAAAAGTCACTTTCAACATCATCACCACGTAACTGATGCAAACTCGAGACACTCAATAAATCAAACATCTTCGTCAAGTAATTCTGCAGCAGCAAAAACAATTCAGAAGACATCAGAATCAGAGCCTCCTTACCAAAGGTCTGTATCCGCGACTCCGAATTCCAGCCGCCCTTTTTCACCGGTTTCAAACATGCCAGCTCAACAACAATCAGCAATCGGCCAAGTGAACCGTCGGTTACCTGATCAAACTCACCTACCCGCACCTCCCACCTCAGGTATCCCTCAACCAAAATCAAGAGTATCTCCTAGCCGAGGCCCGAATACGCAGACATCTGGTATACCTTCCGTATCTGGTGGTGCCTCGAACGTCGGCATAAAGTCACCCCCAGAGATCAGGAGAGGTATCCCGCAGCCTTCGAGTCGCCCCAAATCACCCGCTAATGTTAACTCTGTCTCTAAGCTGTCCAAAGCTGCGCCATCGAAGGTGCCGCAAGTGTCAGGATCCGATAGAATTCCGACTTCTTTGCCTCGATCGAAGTCGCCCGCCTCTTCAGCGGTGCTTTCGACTATTTCAAATGGTGAAAAAGAGCCCGGTCTTAAGCTGAAACAACCTTCAAATCAGCAATCGAGCTCAGAGTCAAGTACTAGTCATGCAGCAAAAACCGAGAACCAACAATCTAATCCCAGCCAATCTTCGCTGCCGCAAGCAGCAAGTAAAATTGCAGCTCCAACTCAAACTGCTTCTAAAATGCAATTACCGCAAAGTGGAATTAAACCTCCGGTATCTACGCAGGGAAAGCCGGTGTCTCGAACCCAGTCTCAGATAGGTCGACTCAAGTCTGGGATCGCTACCGCCGGTCCAAGCGAACACAAATCACGTGCCGCGGTCTCGGGCTTACAAGCGCCGAAGAAATCAGCAATAGCGAAACCGTCGGGATTATCCAGCGAGCCACAATCAAGGACATCTACATTGAGCAGACGAAAGTCTCCAAGAGCTGTAAAAAGTGACGACAATGTCGCAGACGATTGTAGCAATGAGGATTCAAGCGAAGTGCATGATCGCCTGAACAAGAATATAGAGTCAGATAGAAAGGAAAAATTGGCGTTAGAGTTGAATGATGCAATTAGAAAATCCGATTTGGCCGCTCTTTCTGGTCGAACGCAACCAGAAAATGAAAATTCAAATGACGCAGAGTATGGTGATTGCAATGCACAAAATCAAGCTAACTCGCAAGTTACAGTTCAAGAGCAGAGTGAGTCAGATTTATTTTACGGATCTGTGGAGTCAGGAAAGAGGGAAAAGGAAAATGGGGACGAGGAAGGAACGAGTGAAATGGAGATCTACGGTTATGCGACGGACTCAGACCTGCTTCTTTCGACCAATCAGTTTTGTGACTCGTGAGTACTTCTCAGTTTCTAGATTTGGAAATACGCCTTGTGTGAGTAGAAATCGTGTGTTTTTGTGTGTAGAAATTGTAGTAAAGGTTACTATGTGAACTAATAGTTATTAAATAAAAAACTTTCACGTCGTTGGCCGAAAACCGTAATTAATTAAGTTGCATTGAACATTATGAAAATTTTTACTCAGGGCGTGTTTTTCTCTCAACTTTAATAACTTGAATAATCTTCAGATGGGTTTGAATGATAACGGAGTATTATGTAATACTTGCATGGAAACTGCTTATGCTTTTTTCACTTGCGAGAGCAAGTGCTCTTGTAATCATGATCTAGACTTTTTTCCGCTAACAACATTTCTTAAAAATCTGGAAAAATTCCTGCAGTTGCTGACGCGGCCAAGTGGAGGGTATTATGCTCAAGTTTTTGAAATTTAAACAAAACTACCTGGTTCATATAAGGTAAAAATTACACAAGATGAGAGTAGTTTGATACTAAAAAGTCAATTTTTCCCCAACTTAAGTATCAAATCTTAGTCCTCTACTTTTAGTGGCACTTTTACAGCTCATGCTGCATTAACAATTCTGTGAAAACTGACTACTAATAAGTTAAAACAGTTGATGCTGTTTTAATTCATCAAATAAACCGAATGAGAAGCTATTTACTTAATATAAAATATAATCATAAAAATCCTATGTAAGAAAGTTAAGGTATTTTTGCGAAATTTTAGAAAAGCATAGTTTTTACACTTTGGTTTTATACGTTCCAATTTATCACATGCAAAGTTAAAGTACGTGTGGTTTCCAAGTTTTTTTTACATTCAGAATTATTTCATGCAAAATTTGTTGTTGTCCGATTCTTAGTTCCTGTTTGCCGCTTCGCCTCTATGTTAGTTTCTCAAATAAACTAATTGAAAATGTTGTTTTTTTCTTAAATGTAGAAGTTTATTTTCGGATGTGTTAGTTTCGTCGTAAATGTTGTCGGGTTCGTTTCCGTTTTTTTAAGAGTAATGAACGTAGTGAGGACTCTTCTAAAGGTCTTGCTGATTTTTTTTGCTTGTTTTTTTTCAGGAAAAAGTCTGAAATTTTGTTCACGCTCAATTTTAATTTTTCGCGGTTTTTCGTGATTTGTTTTTTAGTTCAGCGCATTTCCATTCTTACAAGGAAGGCAAAATCCACTATCGAACAGCAAAATGTAAAGGTCGCGAAAAAATATGATTAACTTCTAATTTCGAAAATGGAAATTAATTATCAGATATCCCAGTGACATAATTGTTATCTAAAATTCGGTTAATTTTAACAAAAAAGTGTCCATCATAAATTGTTCTACAAGTTCGACGAGCTTTGAAGCCATCTATTTTTTTCTCCGAAATTCAAGTTGAAGAGTTTTGAAAAAAAACAAGTCAGTTTTTGTTTCAGTTTCATTGCTCGCTTTTTTTTCTAACTGTCAGTTGGCTATGTTCTTCAATTGCCAACTAAATTATTACGGTTTTTATTCGGCTTTTTCATGTTTTCATCGGTTTCGCCGCTTCGTAATGCGAGAATAGTTTCTTATGGTTTTGCGTATTTGAGGAGGGTTGAGGCCTAAACGCTCAATAAATGATTCCGAATGCTTAAATGACTGCTGTTTTCCTCAAATCGAACATAAAACGAGACGAACTTATGAAAATTTTGTAGATGTAGTTTTTTCAACACAGTAATTTTGTAACTTAATTTTTGACGTCCATTTTTCCATTGACTAGTTTGCAATGCAAGGTTTTTGTTGTGTCGCAATTTTTGCCTTGCCTTTTGTTCATGGTTGTTGGCTTATGCTCATTTGTTCTTTTTGCCCTTTGAACTTCGAGCTCGCTTTCCAAATTCATTTCAATATTGAATTCCGCAAGGAAAATTTATATAAGTAGAATGAAAAATAGCATGTAGTAACGCTCCTAAGTTTTTTTTATGACTGAATTTAATATTATGAATCAAAAGAGGCGCAAAATGAAATCCGAGTTTTCTCGAATTAGAAAAAAAAGTATCAAAATTGATAATTAGTCAGTTTTTCAAAATAGGACTTTATAGCTGTTTGTGGTAAATTCAATAGTTTGTTTTCTGAAATTTTCTGTTCAGAAAGTAGTTTTGTTTAGTAGGTTCGTTTTCTGAATTCGTTGTTTTTTTATATCTCGATTCACTAATTATTTTAACTTGTCTAACGTAATCAGGGAATCATTTCTTAATCTTTTGACATATGTTCTAAACAAGTTCCGATGGGAGAGAAGAAAAATTCAAGGTTTTGAGTCCGGCTAGGTTCCGTTAGTTTGTACTTGTTGAAAATTGTCGGATAATCATATGCCGACTGAGTTGCTAGCACAACCCGGGTTTTTATCATGGGTTGGATTTTTTTCACAACATTTAAATTTCGTATTGATACTTTCGCATAATGGATTGGTGCAGATATTTGAATTCCAAGATTTTTGTCCTTCTTAGACATATTTTTAGAAGAGTAGTAAATGGAGGAGCGATATGTCTTAAGTTACTGAAATTCTGATTCATCTAATAACAAACATTTGAAAAAAAAGTTTGATGAGCATTTCAGTCCAGCTTTTTGTAAATTTGACTTGAACACACTCGGAGAGTGAGCGTAGTTTTGTCTTATATAACGAAATTACGTCTTTCTGCTGTTTTGAAACCGCTTTATTGGATCTGCAATTCGCAGATTATGGTTTAGTTTCAATTTTTTTCTGTTTTGCCGAATATTAAAATCAATTGAACGTTCGTGTTCAGTACGGTAGCAGTTTTCAATAACGTGAGCGCATGTCCGCTGAATTGAAACGTAATAAATTTGCTGCTAAGATTTATGATAAATTATCAAGGTTTAATTCAAGGCCTTTGTTTTTTTCGTGAATTTGAAGAGCTACAGCTTATTGATTTTTTCTACTTGTTTTTGGCAAAGTGCTGCTTTACCCTGTGTATAAAACTTTCAATTATTAATGAAGTTTTCTATCATACTGATGTTAGAAAACATAGACTGAAAATCAATCGACAATCTAGGTCAGGGATGATTCAAGGCATATGCGCAACTTAAATCGCAATCTTTTTACACTTGCGAAATGAGTGTATTAGTACGAACCTTCTTTTTTTCAACCTAAGTCGCGAATAAAAGTTCTACTTTTAGTGGCACTTTGAACGATAGGCTGTTGTAGCAGTATAATGTCATATTTGCTCTAACATTTGATTAGTTAAAAGTTAACACAGTTGATGCATTTTTAATTCATCAAATGAACCGAGAAAAATTATTTGTTTCAAACAACATAACAATAATGAAAACTCGAGTTCAAAAATTTTCCAACTCAATGTATCTCGCAATTTTTTTTTGAAATGCATAATTTATTCAAAATTTGGCTTTATGCGTTCCAATTTATTACATGCAAAATTGTAACTTTTTGTATTTGGTGTCCCTTTTGCGCATCGAATTGGCAGTTTATTAGCATATGTAGCTTCGTTATTAGTGGCTACTTTTTGGTGAATTTAGGCATCCGTGGCTGAGTGGTTAGTGCGTGAGACAAAATTGCAAGGTCGCAAATTCGAATCCTACTGGTAGCCGAGTTTTTGCTAATTCGAGGCTTATTTCTATTTTTTTCACTTGATAGAGCTGGTTTTTGGTCATGTTCTCGCAAATTTTTGCGAAGCACAGCTTCGCCTCTGTGTGAAAGCAATGTTTTGTGCCATTTATAAGCAATGTACATTTTTCAAAGAAACGATCAAACTTGTGTCCAATTGTTTGCTTTTGATCGCTTTACTACGAGAAGTGCAGTTTCAATGTGTTGAATTTACATCTGCACTTTTTTCTTTTCCAATGCAGCAAACGTTTTTCTTTTCCAATGCAGCAAAAAAACGGGCAAAAACTTGTACATTTCAATTTTTTCAGCAGGAATCTGCTTCCTTTTATGTTCCGACCACCGATAAGAACGAAAATTGTTTTCGGGTATGATTAAATTTACTCGAGATATGCCTGTCAAAAGGCACTGCCTGAGAAGCTCTGGATCTTGAGACAATCTTTACTTAATATCGAGAATAAACGTTCTAAGGCAAAAAAAAAATTTTTCAATTTACTTTTAAAAAATTAGCTTTAAAAACAGTTGAAAAAAATTCGCTTTAAAAATGTTGATTCTCGATGTCAAGTAAAATTGTCTGAAGACTCTGAGCTGCTCAGGCAGTGCCTTTTGACAGAAAAACGACGTTCCTTTTCTTGAAATGTCTTTCATTTTATGTTAGTTAAATGTGTAAGTTGTCATTTTCTACGGATCATTAAGCCATTAACTTTCAGTTTTTGAAGCCCATAATTTCCTACCTTCACAAAAAATCCGCAATTGTTTTCGAATCCGTTTGAAAGTTTGAACAAAATGAAATTTTTTAGGCAAAAACGTTCTGGCGCTCTTCTTTATGTTAAACATGGGAAATCGAAAACAGAATGAACTCATTTTCGAGAAACGGTCAAGTCCTTTTTTCAGATCAGTTCATTTCCTTTAATTTTTCGAGTTTTCGGACTTCAATTTTCTGAATTTCCAGCGGAATAAAAAAAATTATTAATTGCTCCAGTATTCTCTAAATGCAAAAATTTAAAGAAAAATTATCAATCATAAACAATTCTTGAATTAAAATTCAAAGAACTTAAGCGTGATACAATTTATAATCATAAAAATCCTATGTAAGAAAGTGGAGGGTATTATGCTCAAGTTTTTGAAATTTAAACAAAAGTACCTGGTTCATATAAGGTAAAAATTACACAAGATGAGAGTAGTTTGATACTAAAAAGTCAATTTTTCCCCAACTTAAGTATCAAATCTTAGTCCTCTACTTTTAGTGGCACTTTTACAGCTCATGCTGCATTCACAATTCTGTGAAAACTGACTACTAATAAGTCAAAACAGTTGATGCTGTTTTAATTCATCGAATAAACCGAATGAGAAGCTATTTACTTAATATAAAATATAATCATAAAAATCCTATGTAAGAAAGTTAAGG